CATGGCAGGCGCAAGACTTTGTGGACCTTGAAGTGCAGATTTCGTAGCAGGCGCAGTATTTCGTGGACCTTGAAGTGCAGATTTCGTGGCAGGTGCAGTGCCTTGTGGACCTTGAAGCGCAGGTTTTGTGGCAGGCGTAGTACTTTGTGGACCTTTCCCAGCTTGAACCCCCACCACCATCACCACCCACCGCCATCACCACCAATCACCACCACCACCATCATCACCATCATCACCACGATCTCCACCCAACGCGTTTAGATCACTAGACTTTCTGCTGCTACACCTCTAGACCTCACACACACTGTTTGGGGTCTCTTGCTGTTTTGGAGTCTCTTGGTGTCCTTCGCTTTGCACCTGGCGACCTCGAAGGAGATGCATCGAAGCAGTTTCCGTGCCCACCAAGAGGTCATCCGGTCCCAAAAGACATGGATTTGGTGAGGTGATGGTGATCGTATGTGATGGTGATTTCACCAACTTGGTTTCATCCTTTTTTTTGTCGTTCATTCTGTCCTTCTTGGACCTTTGGAATCCTTTGGACCTTTCTTTCGTTCTTGAGTTGAGGAGTTGCTTGATGTTCATCGTCATCCAGTTCATCGCTGTTTATGAGTCGTCATAATGTCATAATGGTTATGGTTCATGACATTGCGCTTGATGGATGGTTCTTAAAACATCGGCTGACGATTGAGAGTAGGCCCCTGCACCACTATTTTGAGTTTCAGTCCCGAAGCAGAAAGTTTTAGTCATGTTGCCAGGCGCTTCAAAAAATCAAAAGTTTCTCCCAAGGAATGCCGCACCAGGCCCACCAAGCCGAGTCCCAGTCCGGTGTCCACACGCTTCAGCTGGCAAGAAATGGTGGGGGAGCCCATCGCTTTCTTCGAAAGCGGCTGTTGGAGCAAGGTGATGTAAGGCCTGCTGTTCCTTAGATTACAGTACAGACAGATTTGACCAAGGCTCCTGACGCTGAAGAGAACGAACAAGCGTCCAAGACTCAGAACTCAATTTGCTGCTGGCCCGCTGGCACTGATCTCGTAAATTTAAATGGCGCAACTTCAGATGACTGAGTTCTTCGTATTGAACTTACTGGGTTCTTCATGAGTTTGTTCTATTTGTCAACTTTGAACCCTCCTGAGACCCAAGAAAGCAGCATTGCACGGGAATCCTCCACAAGTGGTTTTTCAGTTGACCTTTAATTGTTCACTGCAAAAGCTGCCTTCTGGGTGAGTCTCTTCATGCTTCCAACCTGGTTGTTGAGTGCATGTAAATATGTGTAGGTTATCATGCATCCTTTATGTGTTATTTCCTTTATGGGCCTTTAGCCCGCCTGGTATGGAGAGGATTGCACCAATGTTCAGTGGCACACAGGAAGCTGCATGGGAGCTCCCACCGGCAATGAGGTGAGTACGTAGGCGAAGGTGCTACTTCAAAAGGTGGCCTTCAGCTGGGTTTTAGTAGAAGATTCACAGAAAAGCTGGAATCACTTGAGTTTTCACTTCGTTAGATTTCGATAGTCCACTCTCCGCTGGGCTCCAAGTGTTTCAACTCATCAAGAGCGCTTACAAAAACCAACGGTGCTTTAAAACAGCATGTAAGGCCCGAGGTCTTTCAGCAAGAGATGTCTTCAAAGCTAATTTGTGTCCGTCAGCAGGTTTTGAGACCACTTGAGAAGGCCTCGTGCCTAGAGTCTTCAGACATCCGACATCCGATATGCGAAGATCCACCAACTGAAGCAAGAAGCGACAGCCAATCAACACGCCGCAGAAATGGACATCGAAGGCACAGTGAATATCAGAAAAACTTTGACAGGTGAGCCCGACTAGATGGAAGGCTGAAACAGATGCGACTGCCATGGTAGACCACTTCGACCCCAATGGGCTGCGCTTGGACCTGCTACGCCGCATAGCCCAGAGCCAGGCAAGTTCTGAAGACAGTGCTGCTCCTTTGAACATGTATGCCTATTCATATACATGCTTCAGGCACACACTCTACACAGGTATCATGTAGTCTTAGGCACATAAACCCACCAAAATGGTACAGGTTCACTCCTTGCGAAGTCACAAAGCTCTTGAACACGACATGTTTTGCGATGTCAAACCCAGATATATATATATATATGTTCTCTCAACTGCCAAGTGATGACCAAATGTTTGGGTTTATTTCCTTGAGGGCAGGCTGGGCAAGCCTCCATGGTTCCTTGAGTGACTTCTCATGATACAACTCACGCACGCCAGTCGCAACCTCAGCCAACTCCCAGCTGGCTGTCGAAATGTGCTGAAGAATTGCAGCTGTGGCTCCTTGGAGAAAAAACGAAGTCATCACATTCGCTCCGATTGCTTCGATCACAGCGTGCTACACGTCTTGGTCTCAAGTGTCCTGTCGATGTGCTGACGGAGACAGGTCTTTGCATCGCCCCGTTCGTAGCGTCCTTGTAAACCTTTGACGTCTGGTGATGCAGGAAGAGACTGAAGAGACCTGCACAATATCAATTCCCGTGATCCCAACAGAACTGTGGTGTCCTGTTTCGAAGCTGGACATACCAAGCTTTACTCTACAGGTTCCAAGAGACTGCCTTGGGTCGCTTGCTTGGTCAAAAGTCAGGCGAGAAGCAGAGCAAGGGAAGGGCAAGAGAAACATACTGTCTTCTACTAAATGGCCTGTGGTGTCCTTTGTTCTTGCGACTAGCCAGAACGTTTATTGGCGTAATGTCTTGGCGGCCCCTTAACTACATCGGAATCGACATCTGAATATAATCGACTTGATGTACATCAGTCGTGGAGGAATTTGGTTTAAGCCAGGCGAGGCAGACGTGCGAGAAGAGAGAGACCTACAAGGCAGGGTAACGGAGAGAAGGCGTTCCAAGAAAGCGTGTGTAATCAAAAAAGATAACAAAAAGAATGAATGATGATTCTGAATGATTCTTTAAAGATGTAAAAAAGAAGGAGAAATGGTTCAACAATGTGTGAATCCTGCTTTTTAGGGCCTCATTCCTCCCGTTTTTAGGGGGACCTTATTCAAGGGGACCTTTTTTTCATGCCTTCAATCTATATACTACTTTTCCCTTCTGAGAAAGCGGGCTCTAGACATTCCAGACCCAAAGCCTGATGCGTTCTTGCGAAGCGTTGCTGAAGCAAAGGGGTTGCAAACTTTGGACACAAAAGAAGCAAGGAGCGAAGCAAGGAGATACAAGGTGGGACATGAAAGATGAGAGAGGAAGAAAGGAAGATAAAGGAAGAAAGGAACTGGAAAGAATATGAAAGAATGCATTCTTACAGCCATTGAAACTTTTAGTTTTCCAAAGAATCTAGGCACGGCTTCAAGAAGCTCCCCCGGCCCTCAGGCGGGGGAAGCTTCCAAGCTTCCTTGAAGCCCGAGCCCTCTGCATCCCCCTCACTGCGCTCGCTTTAGGGAGACCCGACGGATGCGCGTGGCGCGCTTTGTGTTTCCTTTTGCCAAACTGGCTGTTTGCCCTCGCCCTCTGGCCCTCCCTTCCACCAGGGCTCACCACTGGGGATCGCATGAAGCGCAGGGGCCCAAACTGGGAGCATGGACTCTGTAGCTGAGCAGGTCGAGTTTGACATGTCGGTCTTTCACCTGTCAAGCGAGTGTTCCGAGCTGCGTAATGTTGACAGTCAGGACCAGGTGCAAGTTCAGAACCTCACATGGCAGTTCACAGTTCAGGGTTTCCGATCTTTAAGCAGAACTTGTTGGATCGCCATTTCTTGGAGGACATTGACGCGTCAATTGCATCGAGCTGAAAATGGTGGTAACACAGTCTCTCAGTACAAGACTAAGACCAATAGAACCGGCTAACAACATTCACAGCCTCTAATCCCCCAATCACAAAGCATATGCGCACTGAAATCCACAATAAAGCTTTCTAGTAACTAGAAGCTTCCTTGGGAATCGTTTCACTGGGAATCGTTTCACCTGTAACAATAAAGCTTTCTAGGTCTTTCTAGCATGTCTTGGAAGCGTCTTAGTAACAAGAAGCTACTACGTTGGAGGCCATTGCTACTAGTAACAAGAAGCTTTGAAGCTTGTTAGTAGTAAAGCTTTCTAGTAACTCTTTGCCTCTCAACGGCAACAGCTTCTCCCCTCCCGAGGCCGGGCTTTCCCAGCCAAGGCCTTAGGAGCCGGAAGACGGCGATATCGTGCTCGTTCTTTAAGTATTTGACTCAAATGTTGCTTAGAAACCAAAAAGTGAATGAATAATTGTAAAAAGCAAAGGTCCAAAGAAACACATGTCGCTTACGGACGCCGACGCCGACTGTCAGTTCATTTTGGACCGTTTCTTGTCGAGCTGTCCTTTGCGGAAAAGCGAAGGATTTCCGCCCGAGCCTCGAGAGACTGGAGACCCTTTCACTCACCCACTCTTGAAAGAAACATGAAGAAACTAAACATGAAACATCCGGCGAAACCCATGTAGCCTGAACTTAATTGACCAGCTTCAAGTTGACCAGCTTCCAGGAGCATATGCTTCAGAGGCCTTCAAGCAGCTCAAAGAGGATGTCAAGGCGAGCATGTTTGATCCAAAAAGAATCCGAAAGGGGCAAAGTTGTTTTTCCTTGCCTGGTATATCCTAGTAGTATATATATATATAAGTAACCAATTTAGAGCTGATATAGAATACACACAAAAAACTTTAGATGACAAACAAAATGGGGATGAAAATAGATGTCACTATCCCTTTGAGGTAAGCCCAGCAGCCTGTTTCGAATCTCCTTGATAAGGCAAGCTTGAATGTTTTTCTATGTGTGTGTGTTTTTGATGTTTTCCTTCTTGGAGAGTGAAGCGTGAGTGAGGAATGGATAGTTTCTTCATGCTTCGTCCATTTTCAACGGCGAGCTTTGGGCGCAGGTTCAGGTTTACTAGGTTTCCCTACAATTGTATCAGTTCTTTTTCGAGTTGAAGACGACCATAGACAAAAGCCTTGGCACGGCCCCTCGTGCCCAAAGGTTCTCTCAGTCGTCAGAAACTCCAAACTAATACTGCACAAGAACCAAGAATTGAAAAAATGTTTTCCTTGTGTCTTATTTTGGAAATCGAAGATCCATTTCCACGGTTGGACCAGACCGACCTGAGGGCGATCAGTACAAGATGTAACACGAACTATTCGGAAGGCTCTTCCTGTCCCAGGTCCTTCTTTTCCTTTCCTTCCCAGTGGAGAGCCCTTTCCGCGATGCCACCGTGGAAGGACGGGAGAATGCGCGGGAGGATTGGAGGGAGTACAAGATAAAGAGCCTGGTCGTTCTCTACGTCGGTGACCGAAACCAAACACACCCGGTCGTAGCGGTTTGTGTTCAGAGCACTGGATTCCAAAGGTATGAAGAAAACAAGCACGGAAAGGAAGAATAACCAGCAACATAACCACACTAATCCTGGTAGCGCTTTTGCACCTTGGTTCAGTTATTTTGGCTTCAGGTTCCAACCAGTCCTTGTGGCCTGGACTAGTGACTAGTCCACGTGCAACTCCGGAAAGATAAAGCCACAGTGAAAGGTAGCAGCTTAGCGCGTGGGTGAAGAAGTACAGGCACACGATGCACACGAATGATTGGGGCATGAGACACCTTCAGGGTAAAGCAGAAACCCAAATGAGAACCAGAAAGATTAAAAGTTGTGAGTGAGATCTTTGGAAGAAAGGTGTTGCACGCCTTGAGAAGCAAGTTTTACATATCAAAAGGTTCTTTGCTCGTATTGCCTAATGGCCATAGCATGTAAAGGCTTCCATGTGTCTCCCAGTCAGCGGTGAATTCTTTGGTGGTGAACTCAGCTAGCAACCGCAGGTATGGCATGGGCTGCATCCACCACAACATCCCACATTTGACCTAGTGTAACCGTAGCAACCAGGGCGATATTATGTAGATCTGTGACTTGAGTCATCAAAGAGTAGAAGCTTGTGACAGGACGTATGTAGAACGAAACATAAAGCAGACCGATCAGTCCGCAAGCGAGCAGCGTCAACAGCGTTAGAAACAGGTCATTCATGATCATTCTGTCTTTTCGGCCACAGGTCTTTTCCAATGGCACTACACTCGGCGCTCCTGGGTTTGCTGGGACTGGTCATCCTTGGCCACAGCCCTCATGTTGCGCCTTAGCTCAAACGACAGTGACGACCCGGTATCACCTGTTGGCGTGTAATTAAGAGGATTTGGGATTCTTTTGTTGGTTGATCACGGCGGATCTGTGTCGGGTTCATGGGGAGGAGTTCGTGAGGGACCGCATGTGATATCATGTGATGGTGACTGTTACCCAGAACTTTGAGGCATCGAATACAACGGGTCAAAAACCGCATATTAGGAGTTTGATTAGGAGTTTGTGAATGTTTCAGAGAACATATGCAACGAGTGTTGCTCCACACTATCAAAGTTTCAAGGTTGCATGACTGCAAAATGGTGAAAGCTAACAGCTTTACCGGAGAGACTTGACTGCCTCTCCATTGACGGCTACCGAGGCTTTCATGCGATACGACAAATTGTCACGTTGTCTAAGGTGTTGGGACCTTGCGATGAATCCGCTCTACCGAGCATCTCAGATATACAGAGTGAGTCCGTTTGGGCGAAAAAAAGCCTTCGCAAAAGGACACTTCATCGTGAGGTGGCTTCCTTGCATCGGTTCCATATGGATTTGGGTCGTTCGTGTGACTTGGGTGCCGGTCAAGAAGATTTGAAGGAAGCAATCACAAGCTTGGAGGCCGAATGAGGGTGAGACAGATTGACACTTTCAGTGGCTGGACCCACCATATGATTCCACTGACCCCAGGACACATGTTTTGTTAGAAAGAAACCCAATAGGTTGGGCTCCAACATGCTTCCAACACTTCCTCAAAGTCATTCTGAGTTCCAAAAGTCGTTCTTACTTTAAGTCATACATGAACTGTGATGAGCTGATGCGATTTTCGGGTGCTGTGAGATGATGTTGCCTGTCGCGCTTGATGCGGTGCTTTGCAATGTGTTGCTTTGTGATGTGTTGAAGTACCGTGTGGTGATTAATGTGTGTAAAGGCAAGGAGAAGTAAAGTTCAGTGTGGCGTGGTGAGGAGTAAAGACTACTTTTTCAGGCTTTGTCTCTGGAAGTCTCTACTTTCTTCGTCTACCAGAATGACTTTCTTGTGGCTAGGAATCTAAGCGCTGTGTTTTTATTGAAGTCCCTACCTCGTGCTGCTCTGACAATGCACAGTGCAAACTGCCCTTCAGAATCACCAAATGGAATTGCGATACCAACAAAACCTGCCGCCGAATCGGAGCTCATCACAAACCTGTCAGACCGTGCCCTGCACTTGTCACATATTACCTGCAAAACCTGGTTTTGAGCGCTCTCTTGCTTTTGACCACTCATCCTTCTTATTGTCGCACGTTCTTTTGACTTGTTCAACTATAGAGAGCGAGAGAGAGAAATGCTCTGTCATTCAGGCCTTAAGTGGCTCCAGCCGTGCCATGCCACAGGTGCCCTTGGTGCTCTTCTTTTACTCTGCTTTTGGCCTTGGCCTTCTGATCCGACACTTGGGGAGAAACGAACTCTCAAGAAGCCTCTCGAACTCTCAAGCGAAAGCACTTGGAGAAACGAACGGCTAGGAGTGTTGCTTTTGCTTCATTTTCAGCGTTGAAGCTGGCGGTGATGACAAGGTCTGAATTTGGAGGCAGCCTTCAAACATATTTACATGGCAAATAGTTGTTTGGCGTGGTGTTCCTAGTTCATAGTGTTCCTCTACATGTCGCACCGCTTGAGTTTTCGGCCCTTCCTGCGCTGACCGCACCAGCCCCCACCTTGTTTCCGTCACAAAGCATCGCATCGTCGCTCATTGCCGTAGAAAGATCTTGCACCTAGTGTCAGAGCATGTTCTGACAAAAATGGAGTAAAGAAGAAAGAAAGGTCAAAGGAAAGGATGAGTGTCCAAAGAGATTCAAAGGACCAAAGAAAAGAACGCAAGTACCGATGGCTACCCTCGGCACTGAGGAAAGATTTTGACCTTTGCCTCGCCCTCCGCGCCAGTGAGTTGGCGTATGTGGCACAACGCCGCTCAGCTTCCTCGACGCGACAGGAGGGGAGAAATTGAAGGAATCAAAAGTGTTTTTGATGTCTTTGCGTTTCATTTATTCTCCTTTGTCTCTTTTAGACCTTCAGACATGGTTTTGTTCTGGTATGTTTGTTGGTTTTTCCTATTTATTCATTTGATAGCAAGAGGAAGCTCCGTATAGCAAGTGGAAGCTCCGTGTTTCTCAAATGGTTCTTTGGTTTTGGGGCTTGCTTGCTTGCGTGCCTGCGTGCCTGCTTGCTTGCTTTGCTTCCCTTGCTTTGCTTCACTTCGATTTCTTCGCTTTGCTTTGCTTCCCTTTGCTTGCTTGGCTTGCTTTGCTTTGCTTCACTTCACCAAGTTCAGGTAGGAGAAAGTGCGAGACCTGTGTTGGGTACGCTTGACACTAAGTGAGAGAATTCTGCGACAAGATTTTCTTCATACTTGGAATGAGGACATGCATAAGACTAGGAACAAAGGACATTGCTCCTAGGAACAAGAAGCTACTAGGTTCTAGGCCATCGCTACTAGTAGCAAGGACGCTAGTAGGTTGGAGGCCATCGCTACTGGCAGCCATCAAATCCTTCTAGCCACTTGGGACCCCTCGAGAAGGCTGCAGATGTTCTCCACAATGTGCATTCAAGCCTTTTTGTTTCTTTAGATCTATACTTCTCTCTTCTTGATATTCGGCTGTTCTTCCTTTGGACTCTACTCTTTCACTTTTTTCCACATGGTATGTTTGCCACATCATTGTGTGTCTCCAAGGTGATTCTGCTTCTTGGCGGCTTAGAGCGGAAAGGTCGGATTTGAAAAGCAATCCAAGCAGAACCGGGTATGGAATCAACACACTCGACAGAGAAGTTGAGGCACTTCACATGACTGCGTTTGAAAAGCTCGTGGATGGCCTCTTTGCACCGCCGTTCTGTCCTTCTTCCGTTGAAGTGGACACCATTTGAAGCATCCCGGGATGGCCAGCCGAGGTGCGCCTTCTTCTTCGGCCGGTGCAGCTTGGCTCTGAAGGCATACCTTCAGGAATCCCTGAGCAAGGGTAAGAGAGATTGTTTGTTTCGGGGCACTGTCGCCACGGGACCACGTTTGTTTCGGGGAGAAATGTTGAGAATATCCGTCTTATCTTGACCACCTCTTCGCTATGTTCTGATCCTCAAAAGCTGGGCTGAGCCAAGCCAATGCGGGCTCCCAGGCATCATTTGCCAGCCGCTGCTGGTCTTGGCATCGAGCCCCTCGAGCTCTGAGCTCCAGGCGCTCCAGGTGGAAGCCTTCAGCTCTGTGATTGGCACCTTGGACCAGGAAGATCTCAGTCGAGTGGGTTTTGGAGGTCAAGTGAGTGTGTAAAAGGACCAGGTGACAGTGACGTTGAAGTCGTTGTGTCAACATGTGAGATATGCAACAGTTGATGCATGTGGGCCAACAGGGCCCTTGAGCAACAGTGGATCGAGAACTACAAGGACAAAGGCGCGTATACAAACAACAGACGGAAAACATCAGCATTCACTTTTTCATGGTAGCGGAGCAGTGATCCTGGAAACGTCCAGGGGAGCTCCAACAACAAACAAGAAGCACAACAGGCAGAGCCTTGATCCCAGAACACTGGGGGAGCTCAACAGACAAAGCAACACATGCAGCAAGAAGCAGCATCAGCAACAACAGGACCAGAGCTAGAACAAGACACCACAGCCTTAGCAACAGCGCACCGGCTCAAACTCAGACCACCAACATTCGATGGCAACTGTAACTATGCAACATTCGAGGAGTTGAAGTACAAATTCACAGCATACATCATACATCGGCTTGATGGACGCCATCTACCCACAGCTCCTCGACAGATCGGAAGCAGCAGCAACAGGACTCATGGCGGCCGCAGCAACACAGCAGGAAGGCGAACGATGGCAACAGCTAGCAACAGACCTGAAGTGCATACTCATAAGTTACCACCACCGGAGCAGCAGCAACAGTCTGCAGACAACACCATCATGAGATGGGGCTGGAGATCTTTCGACAGCTCTGTCAAAGGTTCTCAATACCATTGGGAACACGCAGCATCGGCTACCTCACCAAACTTCTCAAGCCAAAGTTCGACAACAACAACTTCGAGGAGTCCTCTACAACATGGGAGATCGAACTTGCCAGGTTCGAACGAGACAACGGCTCAACACTACCAGACACAGTCAAGATAGCGGTACTCTAAACGAAACCACAGGACCTCTACAACAACATCTCCAAGGCACAATTACAACCTATGCACAAATCAGAACAACAATCATGGAATACTACAGGGCTACAACAGCCTTCACAAAGTTGGCGCTGCAACCAGGCTCCTCTAGTGTAGCAACAAACTATGGCGGAGGACAAGCACCAATGGACATCGGAGCCATCAACAAGGGCAAAGGCAAACACCAGGGTAAACATCCCAAAGGAAAAGGTAAAGGAAAACAAGGTACAAACAACAGACAGAAAACATCAGCATTCACTTTTTCATGGTAGCGGAGCAGTGATCCTGGAAACATCCAGGGGAGCTCCAACAACAAACAACAAGCACAACAGGCAGAGCCTTGATCCCAGAACACTGGGGGAGCTCAACAGACAAAGCAACACATGCAGCAAGAAGCAGCATCAGCAACAACAGGACCAGAGCTAGAACAAGGCACCACAGCCTTAGCAACAGCGCACCGGCTCAAACTCAGACCACCAACATTCGATGGCAACTATGCAACATTCGAGGAGTTGAAGTACAAATTCACAGCATACATCATACATCGGCTTGATGGACGCCATCTACCTACAGCTCCTCGACAGATCGGAAGCAGCAGCAACAGGACTCATGGCGGCCGCAGCAACACAGCAGGAAGGCGAACGATGGCAACAGCTAGCAACAGACCTGAAGTGCATACTCATAAGTTACCACCACCGGAGCAGCAGCAACAGTCTGCAGACAACACCATCATGAGATGGGGCTGGAGATCTTTCGACAGCTCTGTCAAAGGTTCTCAATACCATTGGGAACACGCAGCATCGGCTACCTCACCAAACTTCTCAAGCCAAAGTTCGACAACAACAACTTCGAGGAGTCCTTTACAACATGGGAGATCGAACTTGCCAGGTTCGAACGAGACAACGGCTCAACACTACCAGACACAGTCAAGATAGCGGTACTCTAAACGAAACCACAGGATCTCTACAACAACATCTCCAAGGCGCAATTACAACCTATGCACAAATCAGAACAACAATCATGGAATACTACAGGGCTACAACAGCCTTCACAAAGTTGGCGCTGCAACCAGGCTCCTCTAGTGTAGCAACAAACTATGGCGGAGGACAAGCACCAATGGACATCGGAGCCATCAACAAGGGCAAAGGCAAACACCAGGGTAAACATCCCAAAGGAAAAGGTAAAGGAAAACAAGGTACAAACAACAGACAGAAAACATCAGCATTCACTTTTTCATGGTAGCGGAGCAGTGATCCTGGAAACATCCAGGGGAGCTCCAACAACAAACAACAAGCACAACAGGCAGAGCCTTGATCCCAGAACACTGGGGGAGTTCAACAGACAAAGCAACACATGCAGCAAGAAGCAGCATCAGCAACAACAGGACCAGAGCTAGAACAAGACACCACAGCCTTAGCAACAGCGCACCGGCTCAAACTCAGACCACCAACATTCGATGGCAACTATGCAACATTCGAGGAGTGGAAGTACAATTCACAGCATACATCGGTTTGATGGACGCCATCTACCCACAGCTCCTCGACAGATCGAAAGCAGCAACAACACGACTCACTGACACAGAGCTCATGGCGGCCGCAGCAACACAGCAGGAAGGCGAACGATGGCAACAGCTAGCAACAGACCTGAAGTACATACTCACAAGGAAAAGGTATAGGAAAACAATCAAAGGGCTACGGCAACAAAGGGTACAACAACTACAGCACAGGCTACGGCTACGGCGTAGGCAAAGGCAAAGGCAAAGGGAAATACGCAACACATCGGGTATGGCACCCCGTTCTCTGGCAAAGGCAACTACAATCAGCACCACAAAGGAAAAGGAAAAGGTGGCAAAGGAAAAGGCAAAGGTAAGACAACACAAGGTTGTTACAGATGTGGACAACAAGGACACATGGCACGAGATTGCAGAGTTTCAGTCTACAATCTCAACACCCACGAGACAGCGCGCGAGCAACAGGCAGATGCAACAGACTACTGGTACCAACAGCAGCGGCACTATGACCGTGGCACTATGATGCATCAGCAGGAGCAACAACACCACCAGCCTCACAACTGGCACTACCAGCACCAGCGGCACAGCAGACGGACAACACACCAACCATTCACATGGTTTCTGGCGTGGAGCTCATCGTGGCGGCAGTGAACGAACAAGAAGCAACCGACAACAACCAACATCAGCAGACACACCGGCGTGAACAACAAGATGGCCTTGTCAACCTGATGGTTGACAGCGGAGCAGCAACACATGTGTGTCCACTCTGGTTTGGCAACAGTTTCCCACTACATCGACTTCAACGTGGAGAAGGTCCTCAACTCAGAACAGTGACAGATGACAACATCCAACTCCATGGGTACAGATAATCTGCATGCACAACATCCACGGGCACCCGATCGTCATACCTTTTTACGTGTGTGACGTCCAAAAGCCCATTCTGTCGGTAACACGACTGTCAGAACAAGGTTTCCACATCAATTTCAACGACAACCCAACAATCACGCACTGCAAAGGCTTCACCTCATCACTGAAGCAGAAGGATGGACTCTACTTCCTTCCAACACGAGTCGTGCCACTTCCCGACAACATGGTCTTGAGCATAAGGCAGACAAGTAACGGCACGAAAGCAACCATCTCGCCTGTAACACTCACATCTACAGGCCTGGAAACAATGCGAGGAGGCAACACAGACCTCTGGACATACAACGACGACGGATATGTGGTCAGAGTACACAAACGAGCACGCAAAGCACTTTTCACACCGGATGCCAACACTTGTCCGGTACCTCTTGACAACTTGGACAACTTCCAAGTGCACCAGGGTACCAGATGGTGTCTTACCAAGCAAGAGCTTGGAACTCAACAGCAGCGGAGCCTTCGCCATAAGATGGGCTTTGAGCACTTGGCTGACCAAATGTCGTGGGCCAACGGCTTCACGTGGTCCTTCAACACGCCTCTTGACCTATGCAAGGTGAACATGGCTGAGGGTAGTCCGCACCTGTACGGAGTGTGCTTTACATGCCGCACAAGGTTCAGGAAAAGATTCGTGACTTCATCCAGTCCTGGCATCCTTTGACTTCGTGGGGTGAACACATTAGTTTCCATGGAGCCAAAACTGTGGAGCGCATTCGGAGCAGCCCGTGGCTCAGGACTTGGCTTGTCCGCGGCGATAACACCACAAGGGTCGCCGAAAACACCAAGCTCATGAACGAGTGGCGATGCTCAATGAGCAAGGACACCGAGGAAGGCAGGGAATGGATGCTTGTACACGCAGACGCCAAGACCTAAAGGCAACGAATGGGTGCCAACATGTGGAAACGGTGGCCAGTGAGAGCCTGGAGGTTCAGACCAACAGGCGCATACTTCAACCAAAAAAAGGAACTTGAAGACAGCACCTTTGATCAACACCTTCAGTGTAAAGTGTCTAGAAAACTCTCCGCGCCATCGTCCTCTTTTTAATGACGCGTTGCTCAGATGATGCAACAAGTCAAGGGACGGTGTCAACATGTGAGATGCGCAACAGTTGATGCATGTGGGCCAACAGGGCCCTTGAGCAACAGTGGATCAAGAACTACAAGGACAAAGGCGCGTATACAAACAACAGACGGAAAACATCAGCATTCACTTTTCACGTTGGAGAGAGGGAGAGAGATAGAGATAGGGATGGTAGGATGGTAGCGGGACAAGGGGTTTCCGGCTGCTTAAATCTTCGGTCAGGGTCTTGCAGACCCAGGTAAAAAGTCATGAATAGTCATCAGTCATGAGTGATGAAGGTTACCCAAGTGTGCAACTTCAACAAGTTCATGAATTCTTGTAATATGAACATGAAACAAAATTTCGCACAAGGAATCCTTCTCAGATATGTTCATATTTCCTTCTGACATTTGTCAGTGTTCTGTTTCGATTTGGTTTGCTCTCCCAGTTTGGAAGTGGTTGAGGCTTTGATTTCTAAGGTTTGGGAATGACCAACCTCTCCATGGCAGCTTGGCTTTCACAGGTGCGGAGCATCTACCAATCATGTACAGGAATCGTCCATGTCTCCAACTTGCATTACCAGATCTTGGGGCGCACCTCTTTCTACAATCGACACACTTAAAAGCGGTCTTTGACGGTAAGTGTACCCTCTGCAGATTGAACGAGAAGCAAAGAGATCAGAGCGGCCAAAGAGCCATCAGTTCTCAGTCGCTTCTTGCTACTAGTAGTAAGAATGCTCCTAGTAGCGATGCCAGGAACCCCTAGTAGCGTCCTTGCTCCTAGTAATAAGGCCAGGAGCCCCTAGTCGCTTCTTGTTACTAGACATCAAATTTCAGAATTCTCATTTCTAGCAAGGCGTCTCAAGCAAAAGCGGGTTGGACGACTATCACAGCCAAGGGAACACATTTGATATTTTCTGGAGCGTCACTCGAAGCTAGCAGTTTCATCAGAACTTTGACACAAAGACCTTTGGCTTGGGACGCGATGTGAAGGCTTTTGGAAAGACATCCCAACAATCTAAAATTCGACCGCTCCGCTTCCGAAAGGAATCTTGCAGCTAAGAGCTTCCCGGCCAGTCTAAACAGCCTGAAAGCCACCACACCGACCACACCCTCAAAAAAAAGGTCTTTATGCAGCAGATGCAGACCGTCGACACGTTGCTTTTTTGCTTCATCAACGGGGTGGCCCGGGCACCCGGCGCCCGAACGGCCATGCTGACGGTTTGGACGGGATGGAATCGGCTACCGTCATCCAGACCCAATCAGGTTCAACTCCCCCGGACACGTCGGTTTTGAGAGCACAATAGTCATTGTATCATACTGACGCTTCCCCCACTCTGATTGCATCCGTTTTGGGACCATGCTTCACATCCTCCAGCAGTGCCCCACATTGCGATAGCATCCATTTGGGAACCCTAATGCTTCACACCATGTCGACGCCTACGCAGCTGCACAGCTGTCAAAAGAACATTCCCCTCCCCAGGCGAGCTTTCGGCCTCAAGTATGTACGACCAATAGCATTCAAAAGGCTTCGCAGGTTCTGGTTCTCAGGATTCTGCTTTGGCAAGTATGGAGCATTCCACTTAAGGCCGTGGATTCACAGAATTGCTCTTCAGCTCCGAGGTCTTCATTCTCTGGATCATTTTTGTTCTGCAGATGCCTCTCACCGACGCTTTGCACACCGCCTATGTGGGTGACTTGTCAGGAATCCACCTGAAAGACTCCTTGGCATGAAATGGCACTGAGTTCCAAGCGTTGAGATCAAAGACGCAAAGGAAGGAATTTCAAAGTGAGACCGGATGAATTTTGAGGAGTCCCTCAGTTTGGTCCCGGTTCTGTTGCTTTTGTGTTTAGCTGCCATCTTGGCCACACACAGGCAGCATCGTCATTACTTTGGTTTGCGTCCGCCAGCAGAGAGACTTGGAAGCTTGGAAGCAACGAGTCACATGCAAGGCAGACCACCAAAACCGTGAACAAGTCGCCTATTGTCACGCAATCCATTGCACGGCAGTCCAGAAACCTGTGCGCTGACAAATCGGATGCTCCCAAGAACTACTTCTGAACGGATAAGTTTCTCTCCGCCACTCACAGTTTTTATAGCATCTGAGACATTCGGAAGTGGCTTCCGCAGCCCCAGTGATTTGCTCATCTTGTCAGGAAGAGTTGGAGCGAAAAAGCTTTGACCACCAGCTGCTCAATACCAGAGGCCAATCTGGGAGTTTATTCTGGGTTGGACCCTTTTTTGAGGTTTCACATCCTGGACTGAATTCATGCGATGGCAAACGACCTAAGGAAGCGCAAGGCAGAAAGGGCATCTCACATGAGACATGCCTGGGCATCTTGTGGATTCTGTGGTCATCATTCCTTTCAAGAGTTTGGCCAATCGTCACTGAAACGTTCAAGAGAGTTAAAAGGACTGCATTTCTGCTACTTCAGAGGTTATACTTCCGTCTGAGATCTGCCTGGCGATGAACCAACATACCGGTTCAAAACCTGACCTCTTCTCTCATGAATAAAGTATTGGTCTTCCATGCGAACTGAAGGGTTTTCCAACGGGTATCCACAGTGCCTTTTGGTTTAGCTCTTCAGGCTTGCTCCTGCGTGGTGCGGAGCAGGTCCGGCGACAGTCCACAGAGGTGGAGTTGGGGAGCTTGGAAAGACCGTGTGGATTTTGCTATGAAACGCACCTTTGAATGGCAAAACACTTGACAAGACTTGTGTGTTTGCGAGAAATTGGGCTCAAAAGATCTGCTCACCGAGATCGCTAGCTCCAGCATAAAGACGGATCTGGGCAGTCTCCTTCTGAAACGGACTAAAGTGGCTAGTGGCTCAAAGTCGGCAAGACGAACAGCCTGGCCAAAAATTGAGATGTGTGCAGAGGGATCGCACGCTTCAGGCACATGCAATCCCTGCATATATTGGGGTGCATTTGGCGCTTGTGCCAAAGAGAACTGTGACTTCTGCCATTTATCACACGCAAATCCCATAGACCTTGGACGCCCCAGGAGGGCTAAGCGGGAAGCCATAAAGGAGAGGATCTTCGAACACTTCCTGGTGGAGAATGAAGATGAGAGACATCGGCTCTTGCAGGAGGAGGCTGTGAACCATCCATATGCCCGCAAGTTTATCAAGGGCTTCTTGCAAAATCCTCCATTTGAGGTCCGGACTGTTGGTCAGGACCTTGTTGTGTCTTTGTAGATCAACCGATTTAGAGTTCCTGGCACACAACAGATGCGTTTCTTAATCGTACATTTCAAGCCAGCAAATTATGGTTACTGGGTCAATTGAAAATATGTAATGTCATTACATAATGTAGAGAGTCTTCTTGATAAGAGATGGTCTTGCGTTGATGGTTTGGTGTTCAAACTGACATAATTTGCCGGCGCTACTTGGTGCCGCGCCTTACGCGTCCAGCTACAATCCTTGCTGTTGCACCAAGTAGCCAATTCGAAGATGCTCTGGCGTACTCCAACCTCTGAGAGCAACACTGTGATCCTCAGAGTTTCAGTTCGCAGGTGTAGCACAGTAATTAGCCGGCTGTGAGCATATATGTGCTTGCATTAATTGTTCAATGTTTTCTTGCAGAATCTGCTCATCGATGTCCAAGCTGGGTCGGGGCCTGGTTGTGTCTTTGTAGATGAGCCTTGAGTTCCTGACATACAAACGATGCATGTTAATTCGCACATGTCAAGCCAGCAAATTATGGTGACTTGGTCAATTCACGAAAGGTAGCGTCAGCTACCTGAGTTGTCTTTGCTTTAGCAATCATGTATTGGGGGTGGTGAACGGTTCCTGCGCTTGACTTCGATGGTTTAAGAGTTGGTTTAAAATGTCGGGGGGGCGGGGGCCCTGTGTTTCCTTTTCCCTAGGACCAACCTCTGTATGGTCTCACACTTGATGTACATATATGACTGATACATTTGGCTCAAGACTGAGAAAAGCCGCTTGCTTTCACAACGCGACTGCATTCGACTCGTGTCCGAGCATCGTCCGATTGGACCTCTCTCGAGACCGTGTTCTTTCCAAGCGAAATCCACTGCATTGCACTTCGTGTCAATAGTCCTGCTCGTGATGTCCACGTCAGGCGATGATGCTACGGACCTTCCCTGGTCGAGTGTAAGTCCTAGTGCCATGGCAGCCATGCCCGCATTTGCAACACGTCAATCCCACGAGGAGTCGATGTCAAAGCATATGAACGCTAAGCTGCCGCCTGTTTTGACGGACGAGTAAGTTTCCAGGACCTGGCTGGATGGGCAAAGTCCCTCGCAGCGATCACCCCAGGAGGTTCGTGTGGAAGAACAAAAGGGCGAAGCGCTGTGCAAAGCAGGAGCGGCATAATAGGTGGTGGTGATGCCGTTGCGTGCAAGACCAGCAGCGCGTGTGGCAGCTGTGCGGCGACGACCTGCATCCAAGGTGGTGGATGTTCCAGATGAGGTCAAATTTCACTATCTCATTGAGTTGACGGCCGCCCAAATGAGGCTTGGGACTGGTGGAGCTTTCTGGTGCTCATTATTATACATGACGGACATGGAAGGAATCACCTTCGGGAACAGAAGGGGCATTCCTGAACCGGGGGAAGTTTTTTCTTGAGACATGCGAAGTCAATGGCCAGGGTCATCATATCCAGGAAATGATAGCACACCCATGGGCGGTGGCCGTTCTAGCAAACTTGTGAAGGACCTCCACGGTCGGACTGGGAACGTGTGTCCCGCCCTGCTCTCGAGAAAGCTGAGCATCCCTCCTGTTGGATTTCAGCCAGTCATTGGCTTGTCGACATCGCCAAGCCGCACGAATTTCATTTTGATGAACTTCAAAACTTTCGGGTCAGCCCCCAGAAGGCAGGAATCTTCAGAGGAATCACAAAAAAGGTTCTGGTGATTAGCACGCCAACCCAAAGGACCCAAAACTTTGTTCAACACTTGACCCAAGGGGCTCTTTGTTGAACACTTTCTCAGCACACCTGGACTTTCGGACCAGGATCTCGGACGCTGTGACAGTGACTGCCAGTGATGCTTCTACCACTGGAGGTGGTCTGTTTGTTAGCAGGGAGCTGACTATGGTCTGGCCGCGCCCCAGGCAATCCCATCCTGGTGGTCTCCCTATTTGATGGAATTGGCACCTTACGTGTTGCAGTAGACTGCTTGAGGGTCCCAGTGGCAGGCTGCATCTCGGCCCAGAAGGTGGGTTCTGGAGCCTCCTGTATCCTGGAGTCTGCGCTGTTCTTTTGGGGGCGGGCCCCCCCTGTCAGGATGTGTCAGGTTTAAACACAGGTCGCAAAGGAGCTCTGCGTGACGCTCGTTCTTGCCTGTTTTCGCATGTGCCTCGTGTTGAACAGCTCTTGAAAAGGTTTTCCATGGTTTTCCCATGGTGCCCGGTGCTCAGTCTGGCGGAGAAAGTCGCATCAATGGATGCTGCGGATTGCTTGGTTATGAGTCAGGGGTACGATCGTGGGCCTTGGTTGGTAGATGCAGGTGGAGCAAGCCTCGCGCGCTGACCTCGCTTGTATCGGCCGTTGAAGGGCGCAGAAATCAGCCAAGAAGTGAAGCATAAGTTGCCCTTAGCAGGAGAGCTCGTCCTGAGCGCTACATTGGAGGGGGCAGATTTCCTTGAGCCAGGATGGCGTCGGGCGGAGCCGAACTTGACTAGACCCACCTTCGCAACATCGAGACCATCGCAGGCGCCAGGCCGTAAGCCAGCGGGGTTGGAGCTACGCTCGGAAGACGCGGTTGGTCGTTGGAAGCCAGATGAACAGACTCCCTCCCTACCAGTACCGAAGGGAGAACTGCTTGACAAAACTCCGGGCCGAAGGAGCTCCGGTTTGGCGGAAGCATTGGGCAGCATCACTCTTCTCTGGGTTGGCGGGAAGGTGTGAGTGTCAGGGCCCTGTGAAGAGAGTGAACTCAAGTGTCTTGCACTTGTCAGTGCTTCGTTTTGGACCAACATGCTGCAACGCGTGGAAAAGGATCTGTGGCTGAAGACTCATGCAAGAAAATGCATTCTGGAACAGAAAGGAGCTATTTTTGCAATGCAGGCGCTTGAATTGAATGAGAGAGATTCAGAAACAAAATAGTCGTAGATTTAAAGTGACTTATGCAAAGCAGAAAGACGTCAACTAGAGACTAGAGAGGCAATAAATATCGAAAAACAACGAGGGGGTAGAGAGGCCTAGCTAGGAGTGAATTTGAAAATTAGAGTGTATTGATAGGCAACTTAAAACAGCAAGGATGCTACGTATCTCATTTGTTGCTCATTTGTGCATGCATCAGCAAGTGGGTTGCTCATTTGATGTACCATTGCATGCATCCAACGCAAGAGCAAACTAGAGTTGAAGACAGGGAAACTTTGGGTTTTTTGGCTACAAACGGGAAGGGTATAGCAAGGTCCAGTCTAGCGAAGTAGAGGGCCGATTCAACACTGAAAATGTAGATACAAGTACATGGAATGCTTAAAGCAAGGACGAGAGAGATGAAGCACCTCAAATTTTTGAAGAACTACGAAAGCATTTTGAGAGTTCAGACTTCAGAGCCTCAGTATATACAGCATACCCGTCCAGTGAACGGTTCTGGAGGTTCGGACCAGCCTGACCGGTTGCAATAGGAGAAGGGTCGGACCAACCAATAGGCGCCCAGAAAGGCCGCGGAGTGCAGAACTTTCGCCAGTCAAGTCAATCAAAACAATACATATATATATATATACATACATACACTCGAGATTCTACAAGTTCCCATGACTCTTTCCACAACGGTGTTTGCCACTCAATTCAAGGCCCTTCTCCGCTTGCAGAATCATGTGGCAACCAACTGTGCAGACCTTTCCGGGGTCCATGAAGCTATCCTACAAAAGTAAGATTGCCCTCCGTGAAATCAGCGTGCCCTGAAATCTGTCGTGGTCGCAAGCGGGTTATTTTGTGAGAAGAAGCAGGGCTTAGAATGCACTCCTCAAATCCTTAAATCTGCACGACCACTGTGGAGAAGGAGCACCCTTTCAAGCCTCTGAGCCAATAAATTTGCTTGTATATGCTTATCAAATGGTGGCATCAAAGCTTTTGGTCCAGGCTGGGAAGATGCAAGAGACATGCGTCGACATGCATTGAGTTAAATGGAGCTAGTACGGAGTTCCAGTCAACTAAAAGCTGCCCAGAATCCGTGGACCAAAGAGGCCAGCAGGAAACGTTGGTGCGAATCCCAACGCCCTAATGACACAGTCATCCTTTATCCTCCGGTTCAAAGCAACCGCATACCTGCCCGCTGCTCGTGGCTGTGGCTCGGTGTTTTGACAGATCACTTGTTACTGGCTTTCGGCAGGGCGGGTCAGGTGACAGCAACAAGGAAAGCAAGCTCGTCCTTCTCACTCGATCTCAATGTAGAACATACAGTAGTTATGTCATGATGGCTTCAGATTCCCAAGCCTAGCTTATGCGGTGCAAAAAAAATGCTGGGAGTCGTACCTGACTTGGTATGTGTTTGTCCACAGCAGTTTTGCTGCGATGCTTTTCCAGATACCGGCGGTTCAGGAAAATTTCAATTTTTTGTTTTGCAAGAACTGTGGATAATTTGTTAAAACACCTAGCTTGTGCTTTTGCCAACACCAAGAAAGCCCTTTCCCAAGGTTCGGCTTCCAGATGACATTGCTGGAGCGCGCACGCTGCGTGGAAGACCTCAACTTCTGAGGGGGGGCAAGACGCAACATGCGGTTCAAGAATGGTGAACACATACTGAATGTGGTTCTTTTACAATGCAAGTAAACCTGTATTTCAGGCGAAGGCCGGGTTCACCTGGCCACGGAAACTGAAGGTTCCTGATGGTCATTCTGCTTGAAATGAAAAGTACTGGCCTGCTTTTCGTGTAGATTGGATTGGTAGCAGTCCCGTTCCCCTTAGGGTTTCGTGTGAGGGCATTGCACAGGAGTTGGCCGCAACTTCACGGTTGAATCTGCAAAGGTTGATTCCCGTTTCAGGGTCGCTTGCGCTTTCCGCTTGGCCTTTGAAGTTTAAATCAAATCGACTTTTTCGAAGCGGAAAGAAGCTCGGGACCAGCAGAAAGCTGATCACGGATTGCACTGGACATGTGGTGAAATACTGACAGCATCACCCATCCGTTTACGTTCAGCCATCGCATGTTCTCCAGTGTGAGCCAAGTGCCCATGTGCCAATAGCATTTGCATCCCAACAGAAAAGAGCTTTAGATCCGCCAAGGTCGGCTTGTGTCCTGCCTTCTCCAGATCCTAGCTGAAGAGATGTAAGAGCAGATCGATCTTGGCCTTGCTCTTGAGGCACACTTAGGTCTGACATCCACTTCACCTGATATAAAGGCCAAGCCTCACCACTCCCAACAGGTAAGAAGCTGGCAAGAACCTCTCAATCTTTAGACTTCGCAGACTCAGACTTGGAGAGCTTGGACCTTGGAAGATCCCAATGATATTCAGTTCCAACCTTCACTTCGTTCATTTCCTGGGCACGCTCCGTCTAAGGCACACGCCAAAGGCGTGACGAAGTGAGAAGCGTCAAATTCAGCCGCATTCGGTTCATTGATTTTTTTTTTCATTTCATGTTTGGGTGAAGAGAGACCGTTTCCACATATAAAGATCGGAGCATCGTCTTGAGATTTGTCAAGAGTAAAGCAAAGGATGCCGGTAGTTTGATCTTGGATTCAATTATTGCGATTTCCGATCAACAGTAGTGAAGAATAATGCGCTGAAACCACGCGGGCCTCAGGGTTTTCCTCCGTGATGAATCCAAGCTGGACGGCCAATGCAGAAAAGGAGCGATGTGTGATGGCACAAATGCGTCGGTCCTCTACAGGTCCTCCATGTTTTGTTTCAAAAAAGAAAAGGGAGTCCTTTCGCAAAATGTGTCAGAGCTTTAAGCTGGATGGTCTTAGCAACCTGCACTGCTGGCGCCCCCTGCAGGCTTTGGATGGACTTCAAGTACAACCTGAGGCCTGCTCTCAGAGCTTCTAGTAACAAGAAAGAGGCCATCGCTATTAGGTTGGAGACCATTGCTACTAGTAACAAGAAGCTATTAGGTCTTCTTGCCAACAAGAGAAGAAGACAGGAGACAGTTACCGAACCTGCGGAAGTAAATAACTATTTCTCACGCAAGTACGAAGTAGTGATGGACTGTAGAAGTGTCTAGGGCGGCTACAGTTGACCAAACAAAGCGCAAAAAGGCCAGAGATCGGCATATCTCACGCCAAGTGCAAGTGATCTTTCTGAGTAGACCATCCGTACCCCAAAACCCTGCAGAATACAAGGATTTTTTAAAGTGTCCTTATAATGTGTTTGTATATTATACAATATTATACATCATGTTGAAATGTTTGAGGCCCACCGATTTGAAGTTTATTTTTGTCAAGAAAGCTAAACCTTCGAAGTTGCCAGGCTGGAAGTGCTTTGGTCTTTTGCCCTTCTCTTGCCGATGGCTCCGAGGACAGTAGGGGCCACGAAGATCTTGGAAAGCAAAACATGAAACGCTTTAGGAGTCGGAGATTGCAATGCTCAAGCTTCTCAATTGAATTGGTCACGACAGTATAGACTTATTTTTGCTCAGGCCTGCGAGAATGGTCCCAAGTCGGTTCTCTTCAGACCAACGTGACGCTCCTCCAGAGCCATCACAGCAAAGTCCCAACTAAAAGATATAGTAAATCATTCGGAGAGATGAAAGAGTTCGTTCAAATGCCTGATTCCTCAACCTCTCACGTTCTCTTCTCACTGTCAAAGCTGCCTCTCCTTTTTTTGAGCCTTTACACTCGTACTCTGTTTGGGTGTGTGTTTCTTCTTAGGTCATGCTTGTTTATCACGCCTCACCTTTCTTGTCTCCTGTTTCATGTTGTGGCTCATCCTTCAGCATTCTTACAACTCAATGACCTGCTGCCGGCATTGGATGACTTGCAATTCTGTCTCTTGATGCTCGTCAATGTTGAGAAGTCGAAGACGGTTAATTACATGTTGCACAAGCCAGCACCCGCATCAAAAATGCCTTTGAGTCACGAGTGCAGCAGACAAGTTACCGTAACGGAAGCTTTGATGCACAGACCGTACCACATTCTTGCAAGATGTTCCTGGGTCTTACTTGCCCAAAGCGATGTGACTTCAACAAACAGAACTCAATCGCAAAACCCTCATTTGTCACCATTCAGCTCCATGTAAAAGCATCCGTGTTTGATAAATGCATCCTGCATCCCAACGTTTTTGCCAGTTTCTTCAAAGCATCAGCTGCGCAGTTTTTGCGCAGGAAGAAACTTGACTAATGAAATGTCTGCAAGAAAACGTTGCCTGTCTGCATGAAATGGCTTGTCCCTGCCTGGCTGGCAACGCACAATCTTCAACATAGATCCGCATGATGTCTCTTTGCCGGTGGTAGCAACATGGATCTTAGGAAGGGATCAACGCGTCAGCTGCATGCCTGCTTCCTGTCATGACCAAATTCACAAATACTTTCCAGCCTTTGTTGCGAGCCCACTGATGTCAGTCATTGAAAGCTTTTGAAAGCTTGATCAGTTGGCGAGTTGTCAGGTCATCAGGAACGTGAGTTCTCCGTCGGAGATCGTTCATCACATCTGAGTAGCCTTTTTGGGTGGGTTGCACCCAATCCCCACAAAGGCTGTGGCCTCACTTCGGCTCTTTCACCATTCGTGTTCGCTGCGTTCGCTTTCTCCTTTTCATGATCGATTCGACTTGTTCATGCCAGCTCCGCCAGAGCGGCGTTAGGTCCGAAGGTGGTTGCCTGTGGAAACTAGCGTGTTTCCTCAGGATTTGCGGATGGTACACTCAGCCTTGACCATCATGGGTCCAGTGGAGAAGTGGGTTGTGCCTTTGTGGTCTTTGCAGGCAGGGGTCCTTGGGAGAAGTCGGTTCCATGATTCATTACTAGCTGTGCCCACACAGCTACAAAAATCAGATCCTTTGGTGCTGTTCCCTTTTTGGTTTTACCTCAGTGGTGTTTGCTTTCAACGCTGTGATTTATGAGGCGTGCCATCAGGATTGGTTGCAAAATGAACTATAAAGAATACATTATAGAGTCAGAAACTTGCATGTGGCGCTCAACGTTTTTGTGCAAGACAGATTATTGGTTATTTTGAATTGCCAGAATAAGAACGGAGCCAGTGGTGCATTTAATACCTTCCTGGCAGGCTTTCTACTCTCGCCCTTTATGTTTGGGTTGGCCACCGGTCCCCCCCCAGGACAAACTTAGGCTTTGCGACAAGAGAGACTTGAAGGTGAAAACAATCCTGTGATCAATATTTTGGCTGAAAAGAGGTTCCAAGAACTGTGGGGTCAAGACTGGTGATTGGTTCAATAGATTCAATCCATTGGGAGACAATATGGACGTGAAAGTGCAAAGGATATGGGTTTCAAGGTGCTTGGTGTGAAGATTGGTTTCAATAAGTTGGAGATGTGGAGGCTTGGATTGCAGAAACGTTCAAATGCATTTACCGACAACATGACGTGAAAAGGTTCAAAAGGCTCTGGGGGTGAAGAGGAAATATTTGTTCAACCGTTCTTGGATGCAAAAGGTTTAGAGAAACAGGGGGCGACATGGGCTTCAAGGTTCAAGCAAACTTGGGGTGAAGACAGCTTCAACGTTTTTTTATGCGAAGAAGAGGACGGTAATGCGTTTCGCACAAAGTGCGCAAAACCAATTTGAAGGTTCGAAGGAACTTGGCATGAAGTTGGGTTGTAAAGTTCTTCGTCGGAAGATTGTTTTCAATAAGTTGCGGACCAAGAGGACTGGGATGGAGATTAACAAAACAGACTTTAAGCTTTCAGGGACCTGGGATGAAGGGAGGTTGAATCATTTATGCTATTTAGGGTTTAGGGTTTGCGTTTTTTGGATTAAAAACGTCAAAAGTTACAGATTCAATAATATGGATTTTCTAGTTATTGATAGAGTAAACAATTGAAATTATATATATATATGTATATACAATATATATGTTGTTTGATGTTACTATATAGTTGAATTATACTTTAGGAGGAATAAAAGTTGGTAATAATTTCACTTAAAAATGTCATTGACATTATTTATTTTGTCTAATTCTTTCCTAATGGAATTCCGACGGATTAGTTTCTACCTTGAATTAAATTGTAATACCATAAATTTACTTCGGGGTGGAAACTAATCCGCCGACATTCCACTGTGATTCCCTGTAGGATTCTAATTGGAATGGGTTGTGTGTTGTGTACTCATAAGCTTGTTACTAAATTTTGTCTTGGCTGTGTATATACATATTGATTTATATTCGATGATTAATGCTTTGCTTTTGCTTATTGTGTCATTAGTTTATGGATGAGAATATGGTGAAGGTTGCAAGTGGGCGGTTGGCTATTCTGTATTTAGGGGGCTAGCGCCCGCGGCCGAGCTCCGAGAGGGGTCGGAGGTCTAGGGCTCCGCACATGGGCCTCTCGAGGTGGATTGTTTGTTTCACCAGTTGGAATGGGATGGGTGGTTTAATAAGATTTGGAATATGGCACACTTAAATCGAGATGCACCTACGAGCTTATGGATAACTAGCATCGAGGGAGAGAGGTTGTGTAGTGGATGTTGCGTGATATTGGTTGGGGTTTTGGTAAGACCTCGAAAGCCCCTTACTTTAACATGGAAGTTTAAAGCCTATCACTCGAGAAAGATTCGCCTTTTATCTATGTTTTTGTTGTTGAAGCAAGGCCATGTTGAAAGCATAAAGTCTAAGTGTTATATGCTGCAACGAATTGAGACACCAAAGTCTTTGAGATGAAGGGTTTCAAGACTTTGACATGAAGAAGGCTTCAAACATGTTGTTTAGATTTTTCATGAGGGGTTTTGGTGATGAAGGGTTTAAAGTCTTTGACATGATGGGCCCAAGATTTCGGCATAAAGAAGGGTTCAAAAGTTTTGTCTATATTCTTGGATGAGGGGTGTTGGTGATGAAGGGTTCAAAGTAGTTGAAATAAAGGATCCTAAGACTTTGGCATAAAGAAGGGTTTAAAAACGTTGTTTAAAGGCTTTGGATGAAGGGTTTTGGTGATGAAGGGGTCGAAGTCTTTGAGTTGAAGGGTTCCAAGACTTTGTGGCATGAAGAATGGTTCAAAGACTTTGGATGAAAAAGTGTTGGTGATGAAGGGTTCAAAGTCTTTGGGCTTTGTTTTCAACAGCTCGTGTCTTTGCGAGAGGTGGCTCTATTCCTTCTCTTGATTGCACTTTTTGTTATAATCGACCTTTGGTGTTATCTCCCATGTTTAGCCAGTCTTTACCCGTGTTACGATCGACCCTATAAATAGCTTTCTAAGCTCTGCTTGCTATTCTTGCAACCGATTTCGCCCCAAGTCCTTCCTCCCTTTCCTCCTCGAATGTTCGATAGAACTAAATTTTTCTATAAGACAGAATGCTACTGCTCTAGCAGGAATTCAGTTGTATTGAAGAAGCACTAAATGTAAACAGCAATATATGTTATACGAAAGTTCCGAAAGTATCAATAAAAGCAAGACGTTCTCAGGAAGCAAGACGTTCTTAGGCTCAGAGAGTTAACAGCTAGTCATGGGGAAGGGGTCCTTTTGGTTGCCCATTCTATTACTGTATTTGATATTATTTGCGGGTTGGAATGACATTGGGAAAAAGGCCATTGTCGTTGGCTTTATATGAGCGGACTTTACCTGAGCGTTTAATATTAGAGGATGTTAAGTGAAGAGGTTAGACAAAGTTTGCAAAGCAAGCTTTGGTGCGAACGTTTGGAAAAAAGTAGATTCAAGACAAAGGTTTAGGCTTGCGAGGCGACTTGACAAGAGTTGTTGTCTTGATGGGTTAGTTTTGGCAGCAAGAGATTTGAGACTACCAGTTACACGAAAGTTGAAGAGAGGAAGAGATGACCTCGAAGAGTTGCTTGAGCGTAAATAAATTACTTATATAAGGTCGTTTTCATTGTTTAAAGCTAGCTGGAGGTAGGCCAGGAAAGCTTGCTTCAAGAAGGTGGCAAAGATTTGCAAAGTAAATGGGTTGTGAAATGGTGGTTATTCTTCGTTATTTTAGCTTGGTGTATTTGTGCTTCGTTCTGTTTTTTGCTGGGTGGTGAACAAAGGTCGACAAAGCGAATTGAAGGAACTTGGGACGAAGATGAGTTCAAAGGTTCTTGGGACTGGGATATAGGGATGTTCCCAACAAAAGCAACTCAAAGAATTGAAGGAACTTAGGATGCAAGAGGATTAAAAAAAAATCATTATGAAGAGGGGTTCCAGAAACTCAAGGAAGGATTATTGATTGGTTTAGCGGTTTTTGTGGTGCACAAATGTTCGAAAACCGGTTCGGGATATGGATTTTAGGTTCATTTAACCGAAGGTGACAAGTTCAATATTTTGGTGTGAAGACTAATAGCAAAAGCTTTAGGTAACATTTTCAAACTCACAACTGTTTCTGCATCCTAAAAACTGTTGAACTGACAAGCTCTCCTCTTCACGCCACTGTTTTTTTTT